GTTAGGATCTAAGATTTAATGTTATAAATTATGACGAAGTTGTAATTTTGTGGTCTTTTACGAGACTAAAGCTTTATTAACCTGATCTCTGTCACGACCACTAAGTTAAAAAAAAAATCTTTTTTTATTAAAATAAATATTTCGATAGTTGTTTTACTATATTTAAAACAAACCAGTAAATCAATAGTTATTTACTATCAAAAAAGTCAAATTATATATATTTTAATACAATTTCGAAAAAAAAAACTTGTACACTGTTTTTTTTTTTATTATAATTGGTTAAACAAGTTACAAATAATTTGATTTATTTTTATTATATAACTAGCTAAAAACCAAATTTAAAAATAATACATACAATAAATACTATTTACAATCATAAAAAAACAAGCTCTTTTATCTAGCATCTATTACAAAACAAAATTTCTTAACTAGATATATAATATAATAAAAATCAAATATAACAATTGAGCTCTGAACTATACAAGCCACTGTTTGATTGTCCACTTTATTTAAAATATATACTCTATAATAAATATTGCAATGAATAACATATGAGACATTGCAATTTGTATATCTCGATCGATACAAAGCAAAAAAAAAATCTAAAAAGCACTTATCTAGAAAAAAATCACATTGTTCAAATATATTATCCTAATACCTGATTCAATTCCTCCACTGGAGGATTAAGAATTGGTCCTACTTTCGAAAATATTTCATCATCTTCGTATTGCATCATGCTGAATTTTAATATTTTCTCTTTTGTTGGAGAATATTTTTGATCATTAATATCTGCATCATTAATTTTGAAAGATGATGAAAATGAATTTGTTTGTAATGAATGTTCTGGTTTAGTGTCAATTTCATTAGGAGGATATAATGATGGTGATATAAAATCTGGTGGATCTTTAGGGGATGGCGGTGGAGTCGGTGTTGTTTCCACTACCTCAGATGATAGCGAAGAGCTTTCGGCCAATGTTATAGAATCGGAATCAGAATTGTCTTTCTCTAACGTTGTCGTGTTAATCGATGAAACAGAGCTAGTAGAAGTTGATGAATTTGAATCGCGATGATTGTGATTTGTTAGTATAGAAGAAATCCCTAATGACGCTGTTCTTCTGCGCATTGAAACACTATTACTCCACTTTTTCAGTGTTGAAGTGGATGAATTTGAAGCTGGTGTGTTTGTGATCGAAGTATCAGCAGAATAATCATCGGTAGAATCTCCCACATTACCAGAACCAGAGTTTTTATTATTACTTCGCAAATCATCGAATCTTTTAAAATGTTTTCCTGCTATAGATCGTAATCTAGAATTAGTCTTAAGCAGATTAGGCTCGCTGAATGATTCGTGCAATGATGACAGTGATGACAGTGATGACAGTGTTTTATTTATCCTCGATTTTGTTGGCATCCAAGTTGTAGAAGTATTAGATTCCAATTTTGTAGGTACTGTGTCGGCAACTGGTTTTTCTTGAACGATAGGTTTTTCTTGAACGATAGGTTTTTCTTGAACGATAGGTTTTTCTTGAACGATAGGTTTTTCTTGAACGATAGTTTTATCATCTAATTTTTCTTCACTCTCTGATCCAACAATAACAGTCGGCATTACTTCCGGCTCGGCTGGTTCAGACTCCTTAGCGCACTCTATGTCTGGGTTAGGTTGTTCCCGTGCTTCGTCTTCACCAACTTTGATATCACCTTCATAAATTCCCCCTTTACCATGGCTTACGAAGAAAGGTATGTCATCCATATTTGGTAAGACAATAGAATCCATTATCATTTCATGAATTTTGGATTCTATGGCATTAATAATGGGAGAGAATTTCAGTTGCGTTTCCGAAACAATGGGTTCTATTAGTAAATCCAGCTTTGGCATTTCATAAAAGCCTATCCATATTCTGTTCGTTGGTGGAGCTTTAATACGCAGCAATAATTTTCCGATCAATCCCCTTAACACGACTGCTAAGACCAATGGAACCTTTATCGTTTTGAGTCGTGTCACTGGAATTATTGCTTCTGTCTCTATCTCGGCGCGAAATCCACCATTATAATCAATATTAAGTTCTACGCTTAGTTCACCGTTCTGTGCTAGTTCTACTAATTTGGGGTTGGTAACATAAGGGATTCCATTTCCAATATCTACAGACTTGATGTGGATGTCGCTCAAGAAATTTGGCTTTTTTACTTTCTTCACTTTTTTAACCAATTTTTTAATGAAATGTTCTTTGACTACCTGGGTTTTATATATTGAAAGGAAAATACGACCTAATATAACGTTCAACCATTGAGTATTAATATTATCGTCATTGGAATAAAGTATCTTTGAAAGATTATTCAGTGCAATATGATCAAATTGCGTTTTATCTCTCACAACCTGTGGTTGAGGCCCTGGAGAATTTGACTCTAATTTTGATGATCTCTGCAAGGCAAAATACCAATCTTCTTTGTCCACACCAATACCACAATAAAGATAATAGCTTGAATTATCAGCATCTATTGCCATGTCTGCGCATATTGACTTTTTCTTTGAAAGTTTTATAGAAGTTTTCTTCCAAAAGATTTCATTATCAGGTAAATGTTCCGGATACATCGATACGTCATGATTAGAAACGGTAATAATACCCTTACAATCTAATTGTCGTTCACTATCGTACATGAAAAGAGTGTTATGTTTTAGTACCGCGAAAAATGAATCCTTATGACGTTTCAATTGCGGATTCTTGCCATCCATAAATGTTTGTATTCCCATTTTCATTATATTACCAAACGTCGATCCATTTGATGCAGTTGGAGATTCGTAATATTTTGTAACACGTAGCCAACCAACTTTGTGAAAGCTCGTATCGTCCCTTGAACATGATCTGTCATTCTTTAATTCTTCGGGAACTGCATCGAATATTATCGTATCGCTCTTTTGTCTGGAAACCCATGGCCGATATATAACCAGAAAGACGAGAGTAATTACTAGTGGAACAAAAGTGAGCCCGCCGATTAAATATACTAATAGAAATGTCCCTAATGATGTCATTTCTACGTAGCCTATATAGATATGAATTTGAAAGTTCGGAAAGACCTTTCAAGTTAAAGTTATCACACCCCGTGAACTAGACCTTTTGTTCTGCGAGAAGAAGCTTACTGCTTAGTGGTCGAAAGCTAAAGTTGTATTCAATACAATATTTGTAAAAGCAGCAGTAAAACTTAGTATTTTAAAGAGAGTATGATATTTTTCGACGGTACTTGCAATTGTTTCATACGGCGATTCCCAAACACAGTTTTGACCTTGAAAAAACGGGATCGTAAGATTTTAACTGACCACTGAGATAAAAATGATCAACTTGGTCATTGTGCAGTGGGTTGCACAACGTAACATCCCAGACCCATATTTATTACGTAGACGGTATAGTATAGGATAACAAGTTATATTTTCATTGGTTAACTTTGGTACCAGTAAATACCGAAATATTTTATTTTTCTTTAGCGTTAGAAAGAACAATGTGGTTTACCCCGCGATTAGCTGCTTTTTACTCTTTTTTATTGTTAATCAGGTATTTTAAATTGATAATGTCTATTATTTTATGATCACTTTTCGTTAACCTTTTTGAATTAATTTAGTCTCTTGATTCTACAAACAACGTCTTCTGATTTCTTCAAAATAGAAGGGAGATTCGCTTTAAATAATGTTTTAAAAGGTTGTTATTTTTGTAATTACATTGTTTTACTGTTTTTACTGTTCACAAAATAAATTTGTTGATTTTTTTTTTTTTTAATTCAATAATAAGATATATCGCAACTTGAGTCAACAACCAAAGTTGTATTAGATGGGGGAAAATATTCAGCTTTTATTCGTAAAGATGGAAATTTTGTAATGTAAGATTATCGTATGTTGTCGGTAAGAAATAGAATGATTCTGATTAAGAAATAACGAAAGTCTGCACTTTGATCTCTTCAAATAGAGACAATATCCCACCTGGATCATATCTTTTTGAAGTATTGTCAAGAAAGTACATATATCCTAGGGTATAAAAGTTTGGATTAATTTTTGTGATTTTTGTCCAATAAAAAAATTATTTTTGATCAAAGTGCATAAATACATAGTTGAGGGTGGACGTTGATTCGAAAGGCGAAATTCGGCCTTCTGTGACAATCATAGGCAGTGAATGGAACAATCGCGGTCCTTCGTTGCCGTATCCGTTAGAACTATATGCAAGAGCTCCGGCTGATTATTTCATAGTATGTAATTTAAATATTTTAATAGAACTGATAACAGAATTTTTCATGGTGAACTAATTTTGTTTTTGTAATTCTTTTAAGCCTCGAGAGGGGTTCAGTATCACCAGTATGCTTTTTAATCCGTATATCATTATGATGGGCTTTAGTGTAATATTATTATTGATTATGCCAAAGATGATGGCTAACCTAGGTATGTAAATATATAATTTATTATATTTATATGTTCGATTCTATTCTTTTTTTAACTTAGTATATTCAATTTGTAGATCAAACAGCACTACAGGAACTTCAACAAAATCAACAACAGAATCCTCTTGATTTTGATTTGTCCTCTTGGTTAGCCAAGTTATCAGGTGGAAACGAAGCTGACAGAAATTCTAATAATAAAAGAAATTAAGTTAAAACTTCTGATCTATGAATTTAATGCTTACAAAAATAATTCTTAATCCGTGTTGCATGTTCTACTACCGCATTTACTAATCCCCCCCTTTCTATTAGCTGGGATTATTCGCACCAATTTACATATCACTTTTTATTTAAAATGTGACGGTTTGGGGTTAGCGTTAGTAGTTGTTTTGATCTTCACGTTACACCTGATCTTGCATTCTGATTGGCCAGATCAGAAACTTGGGAAATTAGTAAACGCTTCTACTACCTTTACCTTGCGTCAAAAAACAATGGATTTCTGGACCAATTGGAATAGACCTATTTGGACCATTCCAATTGATTTAAAGCGCGGCAGATTTCATATATTGATCTACATACTGCATAAATTGTATTCTTGATATCTAAATAACTTCCTAACCCTAACAATATCAAAAAGGTAACTCTAAATACATCAAAAACGTAACTTTTTTCAACTTTTTTCAACCGGTCCCCAATTTTGGCAGCATAATGTAAGCTTGTTTTTATTGGCCGAATGTTTGTCATGTATATTACTGTATTACACAAATTGAAGATCGTTCCGCGCAAATCACATGATTGACATATTTTATTAACCAATAAAATGATAAATGTCAAAAAATTTGTCACGTGCATAATTAATCAAACCACTTCATAAGCGATATACAAAATTAGAACTGAGGAAAGACCCATGCAATACACAGTAATTAGCCAAAACATTAAAATAGATAACTAATT